TGTCAGTGATGGTGTGCAGCTCTGGCTAGTGTCCTTGGATGGCAGGGTGCGGCAGCAGGGCATCCAGCCAGGGGTCCCCCCTGGGGAGGAACTGGCACTGCTGGTGGTCAGTGGTGTCCTGGGTGGCTGCTCCTTGTCATGGGGGCTGGGGCTATAGAGCTGGCGCAGCAGGTGCTGGCCCTGACTCCCTGAGCTCCTGCTGGAGGGTGCAGCCAGGGAGCTCAGCAAGTTAGGCTGCTGGATGTCTGAGAGTCTCTCCCTCAGTGACGTGTTCCTGGGGGTGCCTGGCCCAGTGGGGGTGGCTCAGTCAGGTTGCCTCTGCTGCTATAGAAAGCACAGTTGTGGCCTGGGTCCTGGGGCATGAGTATGTCCATCAGTTGCCGCATAAAGGGCATGGACTTTTGGGACCTACTCGACTGATGATTATGGTTGGTGATGGAAACCCATGGTGCCCACTGTGCCCACAAGACCTTGACCTTTATGTGGCACTGTCACGCAAACCGTTTGTGCCCATGCTCCCGCATCTGGGCTGACAGACCCTCATAGACATGGGCGTTGGAGTCCCTGCCCTACTCAAACTGGCACTGCACCTCTGCCTCACCCCACAGTGCCACAAGTTCACCAGTCTTGTCCATGGACCAGTTGGGGTCCCAGGTGGTAGGCACAGGTGTGGGCATGGCTGCAGACAAGGAAGACATGGGTCCCACACTGGCTTTCTGAACCCCCGTGTGTCTGTCCCTGTCCTGCCTGGCCTGGACAGTTGCCTGCAGTGCCCAGCACAGGGACATGGCATGGGACTGGCAGCCGTGTGGCAGAGGCAATGCCTAGTGGCATGGCTGACCTGAGAGCAAACTTGCTCCTGGGTTGTGTCAACACATGCATAACTGAGCAGTAACTAAACATTAACTAACCATGAGTAAATTTGCTACATTCAAAGTTACTTGCAATTACGTTTTTACTGCACAATAAGCATGTGCACGTGTAGATGTGTGTGCTTACTGCACAGTAAACTATGCTGCTGTGCAGTTAAGTGTCTCATGTAGACATGCCAAGGGTGAAACAGAATTTTCTGGCCATGGGATTTTTTTTTGGTCCAGTTACAAACTTTGGTTGTGCTCGAAGGAGGTGTCTGATTCAGGCATGTCCTAAGAGAGGAATAGATTTCTTCATTCTCTCCTCCCCCCAGCCTTTTCCTTTTTGCAGTTTTAAAGGACAGTCTATTCATAAGGTGCTGTTCTAAACAGCTTTGAAATTTTGCTCTGCAGTGAAATGTCTGCCTTTTCAAAAAACAAGGAAGCCTATTTCAGTCCACTCCTTTCTGTTTCTTTCTTTGTGCTGAAAGTGTATACTGACTTTGGGGAATCACTGCAGCAGATTGTGAATGATGTATGAGTTGAGAAAAATCCTTGCTCAGTATATAGAGAGAGCAGAGTGTTGCATAATCGCTGTGATGCTATTTGCTGTGAGCTACATACTGTGTTAAGGAATGCAACTTTCTGCCCAGATACAGCTAGGAAAAAAAAAACCCCTGCTGTGCTCAGAAGGCTCTAGATAAAAAAATAACAAGAAGCACAAACCTATATAGATATTTAAACGGTTGTTGTTATTACTGCATTTCTATTGATTTGTCTTTTGCCCACCCTCACCTTCCGATATAGAACGCTGCCGTCTTCTAAAGTAATAGCACAAACATAGTGGTAGCAGCACAACTGCAAGCTGTAGTGGCTTGCACTTTTATGGTAGAATATGGCAGCATGTGTTATAACTAGAGCTACTGAGAAAAGAAGTGTGCCTTTAATATGCTCCATTTCCAAAAATATCAAAACTTGAAAAAAATCTGTGACCTTAAAGACCAGGAATAATTTTAATACAGGGCCAGCTCTTCAGCAATGAAGTTGCACTGATTTACCTATACCTGAAAATCTTCCCCAAATTATTTCAGCTTCTCTCTGTGATATAGATAGAGGAAATTCCAGTGAATTGGGATCATTAGAGATGGTTAATAGGAGGTATAGCCATGTCTACTACACTGAGAAATGATGAACTGCATCTGGCCACAGTGACTGGGAAATAGAAGAGTCTTTGAAAAAACAGCCGTCTGTTGATGGTTCCCTTTGTTTCTGGTTTGTACCATATTAGATTACCCAGGACATAGAATCATAGAAAATGAGGGTTGGAAGGGACCTCAGGAGGTCATCTAGTTCAACCCCCTGCTCAAAGCTGCACCATCCCCAACTAGATAATCTGAGCTAAGACTTTGTCTAGCTGGGTCCTAAAAACCTCCAAGGCTGGAGATTCCATAACCTATAACTTTGAACCCATAAAGCCGTATAAAGTGTGATGTGTTCACTCTGGCATACCTTTAAGAATGCTGAAAATAAGACTGGTTTTGTGCTTAGTTCTTTGCGATGCTGTGCAAGAAAGATGGGCTGACAATAGTCTCCTGTCCCTGGACAGGCTGGGCTTGGAAGCAAAGAAGGAACAGAGTTCTCAGTCTTATGTGTGGGAAGGAAAGTGTCAGGGACGGTTTGAGCCACTGTACAGTAATATTTTTATGATATTAATTAAGGACAGAGCTGGATGATATTTTTCAACTAAATATTTTTCCAGTAAAAATACAGATCTGGATGGCCTGAAATTTTCCCCCAATTAATTTAAATTTTGGAGTATTGTTTCAGTCAAAAGGCCCTTAAAAATGCTGGACAAATAAAATTCTGTTTTATGACATTTGGTTAAAACATTTTTTTTAAACTCAGGAGTTAAACATTTAGTTCTGGGTTGAATGAAACATTTTGTTTGATTGAAACTGAAATGTATTCTGAAATTCTGAAAGAAGATTCATTTTGCATCAACCTGAAATTTTTTCTTTTTGAATTTTCCAGCACTGCCAGTGGATTAAGAAAACATTCTGTTCATTCTTGCTGTTCATTCCCCCATATAGTAATGTCACTGTGGTGTGGGGTTTTGAAGAAGGCTTGGGAGGAAAATCCTCCTTGCAGACTAAGAGGAATATAGTCCTCTGCTGAGAACAAAAGAATTCCAGATCTCTACAAGGGCTCTGATCACGTGAGCAGTTTGGGCTGGAAATATTGTGAAAGCAGCACACTTTACAAGGAGGAAGAACTTCATATTCTTCTCTGGTGACCTGTAACTCTAAAAGAGCAGACTCCAGAGAAAGTCAGGTCCAGCCTGTTCCTCACAAGTACACAGAACTGCAGGAAGAAAAAGTGGAAGGAAAATAAGTTGGCTTAGAGATTATCATTTTCTATAACCTTCCACTCCCCAGACAAAGAGGGTTTTTTTACATATTCTAAAATATTTGCTTTTTATTTTTCCCAAAAGAGGCACTGGCTGCTATTCTTGCATATCCTTAGTAAGAACCCAATCCTGTGACAGTTAAATCAAATGGCATAACTCCTATTGGTACAGGCTTAAGCTTTAAATTAACTTGTCTTTCCTGGTTGTTCAATGGAGTTATTACTGAAGGATTTTAAAAGTTAAATTTCATCACAGCAATACAGAAGAACCATCCTTCTTAGATTGGAGATTCCTAGTAGTACATACATCTTTTCTGCTACACTACGGACAAACACAATATAAGCACAAATCTGTTAGGCAAATTGAATATGGTCATTTCAGATGCACCAGGATTCACCTGAGAGAAGGAACAGTAATACTTTAATTTACAACTGGATTCGAAATACTGAAAGTGTATCTTATTTAGGATAGGTCTTAAATATTTAATTGCATAGCAGATGTTAGAAGCAGTAGCATATTGAACATATCAAGCATTTTCAGCATGTACAAAATGGAGTAAATTAAAAAAAGATAAGAACCTTCCCCTCTACAGATCTTTAACTGCTGAAAAGCAGGGAGGTCCATTGACCTCAATAGGGCTGGGGTTGTAGTCCATAGTTATTCTTCTCCCTTCTACAGCAAGTGGCATTGTAAGAGCTTTAACACTAACTGAAAGAAATTACTGAGGAATCTAGAGACTTGTATAATATGTTGATGAGTGCTATATAAATACCTCTAATACTGTATACTGCAGTCCCATGCGGGTGACCCAACAAACCTCTTGGCGGATAACATGTAAGTAAAGGATGTATGCATTAGGCCTGATTCTCAGCTACATAAAAGCTCCTTTACATTGCTCTGACAATGTAATTGGGAATAGAAATGGGCAAACATAATTCACAACTGCTTGCAGTATAAAGACGTGTCAGGTGTGCAAAAGTCCATTTCATCTAAACTCAATTTTTAGGTTCATCAAACCAAATTAGCTACCCTTAGGGGGACTACTCATCTTTTCTATTTTCCTGAAAGCTTTTTGCAAGATTTCATACCAAAGACATGAAAATAAAAATAAAATGCATCAAATACTTCTTTAATTGAAAGTCATTTGTGCCTTTTTAAAAAACATTTGTCTGGTATTGATTTCAACACTATTTTGACCCCATTCAGCTAGAAAATCTGTTTAGTTTCCACTCCATCAAACTGCACAAGGACATGGAAACTCCTAGAATCCACCATTGACAGCCATGCAGGAACATGGAAGAATCAGAGTTTGAATGAACTAAATCCTTGATCACTTTTTATCACTATTGGATTATAAAGAAAATTGTACTCCTGTTCCTGTTTTATCACCCTTTGTCCCGAGAACTTAATTGTTAAACTTCTGCTAACCATTGAAGTGATGCTAGTAGTTTTTGGTGGGTGTAGGCCTATTGTCACCATGTAACGAATAGAAGAGTATTTCAGTTAAGGGGAAGAATATTTCAGCAGGGCATATCGAGAAAGAAAGAAAACCCCAAGTAGAAATATCTGATATTCATGTTTGTTTACAGTATCATCATGTTTCCTGTGAAATATAAGAATTATTTTGATCCTGGCTTTTACTTTTGGGGTGTCCTTCATTTTTACAAGCTCTTAAAAAAAGCTATAAGCTACATAAGAAAGCCTACTGACCTATACTTAATTTTTTTTCCTGATCCACACAGATCATAGCCAATCATCATATGCAGTCTATTTCTTTTGCATCTGGAGGTGATCCGGTAAGCATTTCTTTAGCTTTTCTTTTACTCCTGTTGGTATTGTTATCTGAGGACCTTATCATTTATCACATACATGCCATTTATCACATATCCTACTTAAAGGAAAATATAAACACAATAACTCTTGTTTCTTGTTTCATAAATTCTTGACTATTACCATCAAACTGTCTTTAGGGGAAACACTGACAGGCAGTAATAAATCCTCCTCTTTGAATGAGTGGAATGAAAAGGCATTGAAAAGCCTAAAGTGTTTCATATAAAACTTGATAAATATTGCAGATGTGACTCCTTGTTTTGCACAGTAAACTGCCTTGAAAAAGTAAACTCAAATTGGTGTCATTTGAACCTTCATCTGCATTGTTACTCCCTTTGTCCTCCCTGCAATAACAGACTTAGAATGCAGTTATATTCCTAGTAAGGTCATTCAGAGTAATCTTTTTCCCCTCTCTTTTCTTCCCAACTTCACCTTGAGAAAGTAACAGAGTGGGGTAAATGCTGTCCTCAGAAATGTTCATTTCACACACAGGTGTAACAATGTGGCTGGGTATCCAAGACAACTGCCACACACAGAGGTAGTGGTTATTTCCTCTTGTTGCTACCACCACTGGCACGATTGCTTGCCCTGGTCTCCGCACCCTAGTTACTCTACTGATTCCACACATGTGTTTGAAGACAGGGTTTGACTTTTTTTTAGGAAGAAGCTCCTTTTCCCTAAATTGGCCAAGTTCAGTTTTACTCTCTGATACACATATGCTGCTTGCACTTACCTCATGCATATCAAAGGCAGACCAGTGTGCTTGTTGCTTATCTACATATTTTTACAAGAGGTCCATCTAATTTCACACTAAATATGCTTCAAAATTATTTCCCAGCCATGAAGAATTGAAGGCATTTCAAAACAGTAAAAGTCTCTCCTGAGTCTTCAAAGCTTTTTAGTTGAGATTGATTTATATTGCCAGGGACAGGTCCACTCACGTAACATATGTAAGGTGCTACGTACCCTCTGCATAAGACTTCTCTCACCTTTACTATGATATGATTTAATATAATCAGTTTCTCTTAGAAGAAGATCCTTAATGTGTTTGCAGTAGGTTAGATATGAATACACCATAAAGCACAAATTCATTCTAGAGAACAGCTCTGTTAAACTCAGTGACATTGCAGCAGTGATACATTTGGAGCTTTTTACAATAATAATTCAGGGAGCAAAGCACTGATCAACAGCAGCTCAGAAATACAACAGATTGCCATAAATGCTGTAAATGAACAATTCCTGCAGTGGGCAGAGGAGCGATTAGTACAGTTCCCTGCCTCCATAAGAAAAAGACTTTGCCACTCCATCTGCCACCCCAAATGCTAAGTCCTCGAAACACCACTGCCTCCTGCCCACTGGTGGAGTGAACAGGAGAGCTGCAGCAGTAAGAGATTTGAACTGGAGTAAACAAGCTCTTCCAAATGTTTTCGTGAGACAAAAAGCATGCCACTGAGTCACTGAGCTACCAGAGACATCACATTGCACCAAGGATGGGAGCCAGCCGGAGCTGATGAAATTGTAAAGTAGTGTTGACAACAAGACCCCTTTACTATGAGCTCATCCTGGGGGTGGAGAGGGTAGGTGTGAGTATTCACTAATACTCAGCAGGCTTGTCACAGTAGGCTAATCACAGAGAGAACTTTAAATAAAAGAACAAGCTTGCTCATATGGCAGGTGGCTCTCTTGTCTCAGGCACAGAGAAGGAAAGGAAGATGCAAAGGTTGGGTTTTAATTAGGCCACAACATTACTCACCTGGGAATTGTGTGGCAATAACTTGTACAGTGCTGGTCATCATTTCTTAATCACGTTTACATGGTAAAGGACTGCATCGTTCCCCCTACCTCTCCAGAGCTTTCTCTCCATGGGTTGGTGATCCCCCAACACCCATACCTCAGATGAAGTTTTAGGGGATGGAGAAAGCGGTTGTCTCCTTTCTGTATGAGACATTTTTCCAGCTTAGGTGCCCCTACACTACAGTGCAATCTGCAGCATATGTCTACCTTCTATCTCACACACAAACAAGATTGACTGTTTTGAAAGAAAATCCAATTCTGCCCAAAGAGCGGGGTTCTGAAGAATGCTCTTCATCCCAGAACTTCAGTCTATCATTTTGATACACTGAGCCCAACCCTACAAGGGACTGAAGACAAGGACTGAGGCTTTGATTCTTTGCTCAGTCCTGACACAGAGCCTGCTAAAGTCAATAAGAGTCTTTTAATTGACTTCCAAGGGCTTTGAGAGAGGTCCTTACACAATAAAGGCAGTGCTTTTCAAGGCACACTGGTGTGACTGAGTGGGAGCAGAGCCAAGATCATACATTTTTTGCAGTGAAATAAGAGTTGCTTTTGCAGAAGCTTTAGTGGTATCCAAGCAGCCAGTGTTCAAACATTATAGGCATGGTGCTGAGCAGGGCATAGTTAGTACTTTTCTACAGAATGCTTGAAATACTTATATGCTATGCATTGGCCTTTTGTCATCATGCAAAAATGTTTTTGTTTATGATACATATCTTCCTTTTCTCATAGGATACAACAGACTATGTTGCATATGTAGCTAAAGACCCTGTTAACCGCAGAGGTAAAGTACACGTCATATTTGGCACCTTCTTTCCTTTAAAAACATTAATTATTAATATTTTAATTCCTGGTATTTGGGGGATTTGTCCAGAAAACTGAAATGAAACACAATAAAGACTTTACACCTGAGCTGATAATTGGAACAATGACATAGCAGTAAACAGGGACCACACACAAGTTAGTCTAGCAGCACAAAATTGTTCTTATTCATGAAATATATTTCAATTTTTTGGGGTTCTTTTCATGTCTGAACTGGACATTCTGCACCAGCTCACTGCACCTTGCAGGAAAGGAGAACATAGCCTTTTTTTGTGTGTGGTCTTGATTAAAGCTGTTACCTAATTTTCCTGCTTGAGATCAGACATCCATTTCACTGTAAGTCCCCGTTAGTGATTGTTTCCAATGTTTGGGATTTTGGATGCGGTTTAGATTCTCCTTAATAAGAGCAAATCATAGAAAAAGAGAGAGGAAATCATAAACTAAAAGGAGAGCAACAAAATAAACTCCCCTGCTTGCATAACAAAAGGCAGCATTTTAGTTACAAACTATTGTGTAGTGTTTCTGAGTCCTATAATGATTTAGGAGCCTAAAGTGGGTCCTAGGCAGAATTAAGGAGCCCAAATCTAAAGTTGTGATGCTCAAACCTCTTTACACAGCTGTATATTAAGGGCAGTGCTTTTAAAGACACACTGGTATGACTGAGTGGAAGCAGAACAAAGATCATATAATTTTTGCAGTGGAAGAAAGAGTTGCTTTTGCAGAAGCTTTACCAGCCTAACCTTGGAGGTGTAAACATCCCGTATGTGTCACAGTCTATGACCGTATCATTCTCTTTGCTGCCTACAAATTTTATTTTTTCTTCTCTGTAAAAACAACCTAAGTTTGACAGGGATGAGGAACTTGATGCTTAAGCCCTATTGGAATACAGAAACTAGGCATACCTAGTCCCCTTAAAGGCCATATCAAGTAGGCCTTTGTAGATCATGCCTAACAGGGAGTGACAGGATTGGAGTCCCTACAAGTTAAACTGGCAGTCACCCTCTGCTCCCAGGCTCCTCTCTCCTGCCCCCCACCAGTGCAGGTGGACCACATCATGGGAGCCTCTGAGGGCTTTTTTAAGTCCCCAAAGGAGGTAATAATCTACCCTCTCCACCCTGCTTCCTCTCCATGCTCAGAGGCATGTCCCCTCCACTCCCCTCTCCTTCACTCCTATCCCACCTGCTGCTGCTTTCCCCACTGTCCCAGGGACGGGGGAAGCTCCAGACCCATTCCTATCTGGTCCAGTTGAGCTGCCTGGGGCCCGGGCTCAGCTGGGGACCACAGCAGCAGTGATGGGTGGGAAGGTTTCCTCTCTCATGCCTGCTCCCAGAGAGCTGGGCAAGTAGGAGGAACCTACCCTGCTGCTGCTGCTGCTGTTGTTGCTGCTTTCTGTGGCACTGTTCAGTCCAAAAGGATGGGGTGTAACTGTGCCATTCTACCCCCTCCAGCTCCACCCCTAGATGCAATAGCTTAAGTGGTTGAAAAGTAGGAAACCCAGGTTTCAATTTTTTTTGGCCTGACTGGGTTCAAATTCTCAGATCCCACAAAAAGATGATTGCTTTGCAGCTGTACCACTGTGCATAACACATTGGGCCAGAAAGACAGTTTTTAGAGTGCATTTGACTCTCTACTCCGAGAACAGGAGGGATGAAACGTAGGGGCACTGATACACGTGACAGAACTCTGCTCCGACGTGTGCAGAGCAGACTTGATTAATGGAGCCTGCTGTGAGTCTGCTGGAGTGTGCTAATTAGTGTGCTACAGCAGCTTCCAAGTCACATGTATACAGCATCCTCAACGAGCTTTAGTTAAAGCACCCTCGCCGCCATTTTGAAGTGCAGGATGCTGAATACGCATAACGCTGTGGGTGCTTTAATTAAAGCAGCTCTCAAAGCTGCTCTACTTAAAGTGCCCCCTCCACCCCCGTCCCAGAGCACATGTACAGATGCCATGGGGTTTTAGTCCCTGCTTCCAGTAATGTATTGTGTACCTGCTTCATGTACTGTGTGCCTTACTTCCAATTTGGATTTGCTTAGCCTTAGCTTCCTGACCCTGATTCCTGTTATGCCTTTCTCCACCAGGTTAAAGAGCTGTTTATTGTCTGGTATTTTCTCCCGGGGAAGGTACTTATATACTGTAATCAAGCTACCTCTTAATTTCTGTTTTTTGTTAAACTAAAGAGATTGAGCCCTGTAGGTCTCCAACTGTAAGGTATTTTTCCAACCCTTGACTCATTTTTGTGGTTCTTTTCTGTACCCTCTCCAGTTTTTCTACACTTCTTTTAAAATCTGGAAAAGCATCTCATTAGCCCTTTTTTTGCTATAGCATTGCACTGAGAGCTCACTGTAAGTTACTTGTCCATTAAGTCTTTGCTTTCCAGAATACAGCCTTCCATTCTGTTGAAATGGTCTGAATACCTCTTTCCTAGACATAGAAGCCTGAATTTCCCTGTATAACTTTGCATTTTGTTTGACCGAATGCATTTTACCAGTATGCCGAGGGTGACTGCCTTACTCTCATCATTCTTTATCATTCTACCAAGCTTTGTGTCATCTGTAAATTTCAGTGGAAGTGACTGTTATATTTCCCTCTCCTTAGTCCTTTTTAATAAAGATGCTATTGAATTATTACTATCTACGTTTGCATTTACAATGGGCTGCACATCGCAGACATGTACAAGATGACTTATTTCTCCTCCAGAGAGGTTAAAATGGCAGAAAATGCTTTTCCTTTCAAAATCTAATGCTCTTGCAACCTAGAGGCAGTCTGCCTTCCACCCACCCAGCTTGTAACATACACTAAGGAAATAGACTTGTGCGAGCCAAACCTTTCTCTCCTTTTATAAGAAACATATTTTCTACTTGCTCAAAGTCCATTCTCGTATCCAAGGAGACAGGTTACCTGTTACATCATCTTCTGATACCAATTTCTTGAGTATGACTCATCCTTCATTTCAGCCCCCAACAACGTTAGTAGCAGGCAGTATACCTTCTTTAGATACCTGCTTCCATATGGATATTATAGTTTTTTGTTCAACTTAACTGCTTTCAGACTATGCGTTTGCAGGTATGACGCTATGAGAGCCAGGGAATCCCTCTGTGCTGATAGTTAAACACCACCAGCAGTGCAGTTTATTTCTCTAGGGCAAATTCATGTGATCTGCAAAATGTCAGTGGCATTATGTTCTGTCTTTATGCCAGTGAAATGCACTGGGTTTGGATGCAAAATCCCTCTGTAGCCCAGGAACATTTGCTGTAAATCAAAGCATCATCCAAGTCTATGGGCAAGAATAACAGGCATTGCATAGGTTGAAAAAGACCCTGGAACTGCATACTTGCAAATCTGGTGTCCCCCAGCTTTGGCTGGCTCACAGATCCATCCTGTATGCTAGCCTGTTGGAGGCAATTGCCTAGACCTGCCTCAACTGCAGTATAGCTGTGACTGACAAAATTGTACAACCAAACACAAATGTCACCATTTTCATTTATGTGTATTGTTAGGTTAGTGTGCAGAATCCACAGAGCCCTGGTGCTAGGCATTGGACATATGTAGTGGAAGCCAATCCCTACCTTGAAGCATTTAATAGTTTATATAGACATGCGGTAAACAACAAAGTGGGAGGGGAGGGAGAGAGATTAAATGCCTCATTTAAGATGACAGAGCCAGCCAGGAACAAAACTATAATGTGAACTGAGGACTCCTGGCTTGAGACAGTACCCTGTTCATGAACCCTGCTGCCTGTCCAGAGATGACAACATTTTATGAATAGGACAAATGATCTCACAGGGGTTTTTACAGTGCCTTTTCTTTGTACCAGTGAGGTGCATCTACCACTATTAACTTAGCTCAGTGATTCTCAATCTTTTCAGTCAGGGCCCTCCTCCACAACTTTGAATTTGGCAGCACCCCTGGTTGAGAACATTTGCCTCTGACTATACCAGTGATTCTCAGCCAAGGTGCTGCTGCATGCTTCTGCTCATATGAGGGTTTTCTGATAATGAAGGATATTTAACTCATTTTCCTGAACTTCAGGAGTTTTTAGAATGAAGGGACTGGACTGTGGTCTCACATCAGCTTTTTAAAAAAAATATATAATGCAGTAATTCTATCTAACCCTAGTGGAATCACTCCAGGCTTAAGATATTCTAAGTGTGCAGATAATTTAACCCATTGTCTGGAAGTAGCTGTAACTAACTGCTGTATCTTATTTATATTCATGTTTACATGATGAATAGAATAGCTATGCCATTCATCACTGCAGCATGGTAAGGATTGTATGAATAATAGTTTATAAATATCATTGTCTTCCCTTCTTTATTTTAGCTTGCCATATACTGGAGTGCTGTGATGGCCTTGCTCAGGATGTCATCAGCACCATAGGGCAAGCATTTGAACTTCGATTTAAGCAATATTTACGCTGTCCCAGTAATATACCTGCTCTCCAGGACAGGTGAGTAACATTGCTATAGAAACCTTCTAAATCAGTATTTCTGAGCCAGTAGGAGTTAATCCATGACTGCACAAGGGAGTTTTAGCAAAACTGGACCCTCTTTAAAACAGTTTCCTGCTAAGTTAGTGAAATCAGTATGGATGGAACATAATCATTTTAAAAGAATGTTTAAACATGACCTTAAGGCTAAATATTAGCTCTTAGAGAGAGAGACAAAAGGATGGCTGGATTTAGAGGTGATGTGTATTAAAATATATATCACAAATGAGTAAGCAAGAATGAGGGAGACAAAACTGGTGTAGCTTGCATGCCAGATGACCAGAAGAAGTAGGTTACACAACTTCTCTAAATTTGGCTCAGGGTCAGTAACACAATGTGAAGCATGATTTTAAAATAGTCCTGCCCAGCCCCACATATACAAGACATATCAGTCTATACCTAGTTTAAATCCAACTTTTCTTCCAATTTGGGTGGATCCTTAGATTGATACAAATGGTTTGGAGTTGAATCTGCACAGTTCCCTTGTAAGATCTCAAATATTCCCAAAAAATTTGACTTGCTGTTTTTAGAGATTTTTCTTTCTCCTGAAAGTTAAACTACTGACAACCTTTATTGCCTCTGTGACAAACAGAGCCAACTCATGGCCCGGTGAGGCCCAGCCATTTTGGAGACCAGCCTGCCCCTTTTGTCCTTGGGCCAACCGCCTACCTCTTCCTCCTGCCACGCCTTGATGTTTTATTGTTTTGATGTTAATAGGTGGGAGGCTGCCCTTCGATCTGCCCTGGTGTCAAGGGCCTAATGTACAAGCTCCAACCATCCCTACATGTGTCCCATGCCTTGCAGATGTTTTCTCCGGCTAGGTAGTACTGGGACTTCAGCTCTGGAGCCTCACGTGAAACTCTCACTCCCCACTGGAGATCAAAGTCCCAGCACCCTTGCAGATGTTTCCAGGCCTAGCACCTGGCCTCCCTACTGGTGAACACACCAGGCCTTCCATATCCAGCCTAGCACCCGGCCTCCAGTCAAGTGGCTCACACCAGGCCTTGTCAACTGCCTCCTTTAGCCTGGGGCCTCACTGCTGCACCCCTCAATACTCCGCCCTACTACTCAGGCTGCTTAACTGCCTTCTCATCTCCAGGGCCTCACAACTATGCCCCACAACTCAACTGCCTCTCACAACAGCGCCCCAAACTCTGGGCCTCACTCCCCGCTCCCTGGCCACACTATTCTGCCCCCTCCCAGGGCCATGCTATTGCATCCTACCACTTGGGCTCAGGGTCGAACACCTCCATAGGCTCAGGTGGCACTCCACTTTCCGTGCCTGGCCTACCACTCCACACTCTCACTTGAGGCTCCAATTAGAACACCTCTGCAGGCTCAGGTAGCACTCTCGTGCTGTGCCTGTCCCACCTCCAGGGTCAAACTCCCCACAGGGCTCAGGTATTCTGTGTGCCTGGCCTTGAGCTCAAAGCCTGCCCGAAGGTGGGGGCAGGGGTTTAGGCGCCCCCAACCCACCTTACACTAGGATGGTCCTCAAACCTGGCATATAATTGGCCCTTCCCTACCACAGGCAGGACCACTAGGCCTCCCCATCCTGTTAGGGTACAGTTTCAGGTCATGACCAGGACCAATGAGGTCTTCTCCTTCCCTATAGCCTCACCCTTACCTCCAAGGTGTTCCAGGACTAGCCCAACCCAATGTTGCCTCCTTGGGCCTGCCACACAGACTGCCCTGCTCTTATACCAGAGCTCTACCAAAATGGCTACCCTCGTCAGACACCTAGTGACTGGCTACTCTGGCCCTTTAAGTGATGGAGCACTGAAGCTGCTCCATCACACCTCCAATCCATTATTTGATATCCATTGGAAAGAAGCATGATTTCTACAAATGAATACATAGAGAAAAACTGGGTGGTCCCTCCCATGAAGATGAGCACAAGTGGAAGGACCAAGTGGAGGAAAACCTTGGTAGCATTATTAAACTAAGGAAACTAGGTTTTTCTTTTACCCAGAGAATAATGTTTAGTAGGGCCGCGTGCAGCTTCGGTAGCTGATTCAATTCCGAGGAGGTTCATCCTGATTCAGGGACCGAACCTCCGAATCCGAATCGAATCAGGAGACCAAGTAAAAGCTCTAAATTGATTTGAAGCATCTGACTCGATTTGGAGAAGTTTCGGAAAAGATTCAGCCAATTTGGAGATCCAGTCATAGACTAAACAGGCAGCTGAATTTCTCTGAATCAGCGCTGAATCTTCCAAAGCTGATTCAGCCAAATCAATTTGGGATGGTGATCCAAATTTTTTAATCGAATCACTGTCCTCTGAATCAGCCAAATCCAAATCTGAATCAAATACTTCCCTATTTGCACAGGCCCAATGTTTAGGGACCTACCGAATTCGAGACAGCTGTACACCGATTTCATGGTCAGAATGTGGGGTTTGGCAGCCATTTTATGAAGAAGTGTGATGGGGTCCCCCATCCCTCTGATTGGGATGGGAGACCCTGCCTTTCACTGCTGATTGGCTGTGAAGCCTGTCCATCATGTGGCCCCAAGCAAAATGACAGGCAGCCCTCGCAACCAATCAGTGGTAAGGGGTGGGGATGGAAGCCATCTTGCTGGCAGCCCCTCCAGTGGGCAGTGCCCACTTGTCCCTCCCCCCTCTCCCTTGCCCCCACCT